AGGTAGAGGGAGAGTGGGTAGGAAAGAGGGAACCGATTACAAGGAACTATATGTGACCTCCTCCCTGGGGGACGGACAACCGAAGAGGAGGTGAAAGGAGACATTGTTCAGTCTAAGATACTGAAAAATAATAATTCATAAATTATCAAGGGTTCATGAGGAAGGGAGGGTAGGAGAGGGAGGGGAAAAAAGGAGCCGATACCATGGGCTCAAGTAGAAAGAAAATGTTTTGAAAATGATGACGGCAACAAATGTATAAATGTGCGTGACACAATGGATGGATTGTGATAAGAGTTATACGAGCCCCCAATAAAATGATTTTTTTTAAAAGAAAGTGACTTCTTTAACAGAATTATTAGAGAACATGTATCCATATTTAAAGGAGAAGCATCATTTTTAGAAGCATCCTATTTATACAATGATTATTTTTGCCTAGAGTTAATCATCATAATATGTTTCCTCTCTCTGTGGCACACCTGGCCGATAGCCTTCCTACATGCGAGGATGCTTCAAAAATGTCATGCCAAAAGTCGAATTAAAAGGTAAAGGAATTTCCCCACAACCTTTTTGAAGCCCTCTTGTATATGCCACACCACTCACAAATTACAACAAAGCAGAAGGAGTTAGCAAATAAGAAAATCCTCAAGGCCCCATAATCCCATGTAACACTGTTCCCAGCAGCAGCCAAAGCCCAAGCACCTGACGTGGGACAATGCTTCTCCATGTCCCCTTCCCAAGCCAACATGTCACCAACCAGCAAGCATACTGAAGATGAAGAACGCAGCATCCAGAAGTTGGCAAGCGTCAAAACCAGTAAAAAGGGCCGATGAAAATGTCTCCTTTTATTTCTTCTTTTCTTCCACTCATGTATTTCTCATTTTATAGTAAAGAAAATTTATAATCACAGTGGACCTTACTCCTAGTCTCACTCTTCCCCAAACCAGAGGGTTCATTTTAACTGTCATAATTCAAATCATACCAGAAAAAAAATTAATCTTACTTAAAAGAGCTGTAAGTTCATTTTAAATGATCTTTAGTACTCCTGGGATAAAAGGCATGATCCTCCAAACAGTTCTGTTTTAACGCTGAAAGATTCTTGTATTTATGATTAGAAATCAGTAGCTGATAAAGTAGAAACTCAAACATTAAGAATTTTTTAAAAATGAGGAGCTGATATCAAGGGCTCAAGTAGAAAGCAAATGTTTTGACAGTGAGGATGACAACAAATGTACAAATGTGCTTGACACAATGGGTGTATGTATGGATTGTGATAAGAGTTGTACGAGCCCCCAATGATTAAAAAAAAACAAAACATTAAGAATGAATGTGAATTTACATTGACGTCACTTAAGAAATCCATACAAAACCAAATCACACCATACCCAGGTCCATTCCGATTCAGTGACCCTGTAGGGCAGAGTATGGAAGTAGTCTTCCAAGGCGACATATCAGGTCTATGGAAGCAAACCACCATGTCTCACTCCTGCAGAGCGGCTCGTAGGTTGAGTTGCCAACTTCTTGACAGCAACTGAGTTCATAAAATGAAACTCATAGAAAATCCCACTCTTTCAATCCCACTTTTCCACAAACTTTTTAAGGTCACCTCACATACACAAAGCACTGAAACCTACTGTCATGTGTCTGTCGTCTCTAACGCTCAAAGCCGTGGCCTAGAACAGTTAGAGATGCGTTCCTCTTGGCTGCAAATTATTGTTCACACGGAACATTACGACTAGAGGTAGTTTTAAGCACTTTTGTTTTTTCTAAAGCCTCTTCTAACGAGCTTGGAGCTAGAAAATAAATATTCGATTTTCAGTTGAAAAGCTATCAGTAAGATTTAGAGACAAAAACTATCTTAAAGTCCAATGTGAATATTAACTGAATAATGAAGTACATGTGTTCAAGCAGTGTTTGAAAAAGTTCCACCTTTAAATGGTCTTTCACACAGCGCAACCAATATTAAGAATAAAGAAATACTCTACTTTAAAAAATAAGGGGTGGTGAAAGTTAATGGAAATATGTCAATTTTGACCAATTTTTCTTTTATTTTTACCAATAAACAAACCAGTTGCCTTCATATCAGTCCAAGTCAAGAAGAGCCCAAGTGTGCCAGAGCAGAAACTGTCCACAGAGCTTTCACTACATATTGTTTTAATTTATGTAGATTGTCAGGCCTTCCTTCCAAGGCACCTCCACATTTTTGGTTAGCAGTAGAGCACCTCAACCATTTCTACTACCTGGGTGCTCTTAGAAGTCAGCACTGCTAAACAGCCAGCACAGTTTAAGAAAATCATGTTTTTCTTCTAGTAGGAAATAATACTTATTGCTCTAAGTACACTTCAACAGAGACACTTCGTCAAGTATAAGGAATAAATATACTATATCATGGTTTCTTGATGCTTACAGGAAGTACACAATAGCAAATTCATGTCCAACTTTTGCATGTTAATTAACAGATTATATAATAATCTAACTTCTACTGTTAGTGGTGGAACAAAAGGCATAATGAACTCAAGTTTGTCTAGCAAGTTAATTATCTTAAGACATCCTCACAGATATTCTATTCACAGTGACCCTATGAGACCCAGTAGAACTAACCCACAGGGGTTTCCGACATTGTAATCTGTACAGAAACAGGATACTCCATCTTTCTTCCCAGGAGCAGTATAAGTGGGTTCGAACTGCTAGTATTTCATTCTCAGCCAAGCCCATAACCACTGCGCATTTAGTTTATATTAAAAAATAGATTTTCAACAACAAAACCAACATGCTTCCTATGTAACCTATTCAAGCATCAGGAGGATAAAATCAGAATATGAACTATTAACTAGAATAATACATTGCTACACAGGAGTCATTGTCATATTTATAATTACTTGGTTTTAAAAGTATAAATTTCCTTGAAGTTCAGGTTTGTGTTGCTTTGCTTAGAAGATTAAAAGTGAACATGCTCAATGGAGTAATTTAGACTAACTTCATCATGGTTTGTACCCTTATATAAAAAGCAAGTTTAAACGCGGAATGTCAGTTGGATAAACGCGGCAAAGAATCCTCTGGTAGAGATAAGAATTCAGCCAGGCAAACAATCTCATCTAAAAGACACACCTGTTTTCGTTTCTCGAGTCTCTCTTGCTTTAGCTTTTCTTTCTCCTTTTCCAGCTCTTTACTTTTGATCAGAATGGTGGGCTTACTTGTAGGAGTCTTTCTGTTAAGAATTTTAGCCATGGCATCTGCCCAGCCTGTGTTTGTCCCAACACTAGATGCAGCATCATTTTCACTTTCTTTGTCACAGGGTTCAACATCCTCCTCATTGTCAGCTTCTATTGCTTCATCATCGGACAAGTCGTCCTCTTCCACTCCACCGCTCTCTACAGAAACAAACGAGTAGAAACAAATAAGACTTTATTCTCTAAGGAGAGGTTGCCAAAGCGATGACCCATTTCGGGGGCCCTTCATGAAGCTAACAGCTCTCCACCTGGCTTCTGTAGGAGGAGACATCTTCCAGTCCCATTGTTGCCGAATCAGTGGAGAACAAGAGGACCTCACACCCACTGCCACCGGCACCAAAGATCTGACTGATCATGCCGACAGGGGCGGCCACAGCGGCTTCAAAACCTGGGAGGCAGGCACCAGTCAACCCCACAGCCCTCACTGCACTCCTGCTGTCACGCTGGTGAGAGAGGCTGCGGAGGGCCAGTCAGCGTGTTACTTCACCCACAGACCTTACTTGTGATATTCAACCTTACCTGAAGCTCATTCTAAACACAAGTAACAGCAAAAACATCAATCTACCAAGCAAATGTTATGATTTGATCAAATGAACTTCTCTGATGAGTTGGCACAGATATTGAATCTAGTCATGACGATATTATAATGAACCCACAGGCAAGAAAAACTAAAATCCACCCTCACTTACTGTAAATAGCTTGCATAAAAATACTGAGTGTTTTTAAGCTTTGGGGGAACGAAATGACCTAATGAAGTAACATACACCCAGAAGAGAGATGACAGAATTGCACTGTGGGCCGACAACGGAATGAAAATGGCAAGCTCCGAGGTGACGAGCCGAAGTTGTACATTGTTGTCCCCATGGTGAGGATCTAGAGACCAGCTCATTTTACAAACCTGACATTATGTGAAAACGGTGGATGACCACAAAAGAGGAGAAATAAAAGACAGCTACATCATTCTATAACTGTCTGATGTCATCACCTATATCTGCCAAATCTCTAAGAAAGGCCTGTCCAAGCGAACGCATATGTTGCTCACGCACCTCAGTGTTTATTACTACCAGATGTATGCTGTTAATGCTCAAAATAGTCAAAAAAGCAGATTTAAAAAAATACTTTTATTGGGGGCTTTTACATCTCTTATCACAATCCATACATTCCTCCAATGTGTCGAGCACATTTGCACACTGTGTTAGCCTGGGTAGACTAGAGAAACAAATTCATAGACACACGTGTATAAGGAAGAGGTTTATATACAAGAGCAATTGTACTTTAAGAAAACATCCCAAACCAGTCCAGTCCAAGGCCATAAGTATATTAGCCCATACATCCGATACCAATCTATAAAGTCCTCTTCAGACTCACAAAACACATGCAATGAAGCCAAATGCAGGACAATCACAAGCCAGTGGATAGAAAGTCTTTGGGTCCAGTGTGGTTGTAAGCATCTCAGTACTGGCAGGGGTCTCTCTGTGGCTTCTCCGGCTTCAGAGGTTTGTTTGCATCCATGTGGCTTGTCTGGCTCAGGGCAACGAAGGTAATTCCATGTGTCTTGTCAGGGAGTGACAGAGAGAAGTGTCTCCTGCCTCCAAGGAGGAAGTACCGGATTTCCCAGAATTCTCAGAAGGTCATGCCCACACATGCCTCATTGGGTATGATCTGATTGACAAGCTAGACTCCACCCCTACACTCTTAATCTTCAACTTGACAAATGATTATATATCTAGCACACACATATGCCGCCATCATCATTTTCAAAGCATTCTCTTCCCACTCAAGCCCGATATCAGCTCCCCCTTTCTCCCCACGCCCCCGCTCCTCTGCCCACTCTCCCTCACAAACCCTTGATAAATTATAGATTAGTTTTTCCATATCTTACATCGTCCTCTACCGCGCCCCACTCACTTTTCCATTATTCGTTCCCCTGGGACGGGGGTTCTAAGTTAATCTTTGTGATCGATTTCCCCCTTTCTTTCCCCTCTCCCCTAATCCTCCTGGTATCTCTACTCTCCTTCTTGGCCCTTAGGGGTTATCTATCCTGGATTCCCTGTGTTGCAGGCTCTTATCTGTAGCAGTCTGCATGCTCTGGTCTAATCCAATTTGTAAGGTAAAATTGAGGTCATGATAGTGGGGTGAAGGAAGCACCAAAGAACTAGAGGAAAGCTGTGTGTTTCATCAGTGTTTTACTGCACCCTGACTGGTTCATCTCTTCCCTGAGACCCCTCTGTGAGATGATGTCCAATTATCTACAGATGGGCACTGGGTATCCACTCCGTACCCCCCACATTCACCTTGGGTATGGTTTTATTCTGGGTCTCAGATGCCTGATACCTGATCCCATTGACACTTCATGATCACACAGGCTGGTGTGCTTCTTCCATGTGGGCTTTGTTGCTTCTGAGCTAGATAGCCGCTTGTTTATCTTCAAGTCTTTAAGACCCCAGACACTGTATCTTTTGATAGCCAGGCATCATCAGCTTTCTTCACCACATTTGCTTATGCACCCATTTTTATGTTCAGCAATCGTTTCGGGAATGTGAGCATCCAAAGTGTAGATTTTTTTTACTATTGCCAATAGATATGAATTCTCAGGTAACAATTTAGCTGACAAGGGAAAAGTACATGCATTATTGCCTTTAAAGGTTCCCAGAGGTGGAATGGAAAACAGCTCGAATACTAACTGAAAGGTCAGAAGCTCAATTCCACCAGCTGATACCTGGGAGGAAGATATGGCAATTTGCTTCCACAAAACCGTGCAGCCGTGGATACCTATGGGGCAGCTCTCCTCCATCCTCCAGGAGCACTGTGAGTAGGAGTCAACCACCAACAAGGGTGAGGATTGGTCAGTTTTACCATGCTCTGGGTATAAAATGAGATGCCTCAGAAGGAGGCACAAAGACTCCCATGACCATCAAGAAGGAAGAGCCATGAGTGAAGCGTGTCTGAAATGTACACACAGAGAAGTGATGGTGGCCATAGCACAAGACAGAGTAGCAAGCTAAGCTTCCCTGCCCACAGAATGAGGAAAGCTGAATGTCTTCAGGCAGGAAGCTGCCTTGCAGAGTGGGGCACCCTTTGGGCATTTATCAGCAATAGAGGAGTTTTAGAACACATGTCCAAGCAGGGCAAACGCCAAGGGACCTGGTGGTGGAAGATTAGAGAGAGGCATGGCTGTCAATGGCTGGGAAAAAACATTGAACCGTAGAAATGCATCTTTAATATTTCTGATCCTGAGCCTTGTAACCTGTTTGCTTCCCTAATAAATCCCATAATCATGAATATAGTATTATCTTTGAGTTCTGCATGGCCCTTTCCGTGGATTATCAAACCTAGCACAGAAATAGAATGCCCTGGGTTGGCTGGTTGGGGTCAAAATAGGTTGGAGCTATGTCTGATCTCTGCTTCATAGGAATCATTCATTGGGATACTATAGTCTTTTTTATAGTAATGTATTACCGTGTCCAATGTAACAGGAAGATAATATTTCTGACATTAATTTCATCTCATCTCTTGAGTCTAAGCTATGACTGAAGATAGAATTAATAAAAAGACCTGACTTTCAGGTATTGATTTTGAAACTCCTAATCTTGGTATTACTTATACTTAACATTTTCGTGTGAAGTGTTTAGAATTCAAGAAATGAAAAGCAAATAGTCAAACATTTAAAACTACGTTTATAATTTTTAAAAATCTTAACATATTAGAAAACATCAAAAATGAACCTCAAACACATGAGCATAAATTAAGTTTTTTGTAAAAAAGTAAACATTATGTAAAATTACAATTAAACACAGAAAGCAAAATAATTCTTACATCTCTTTAAAGAGAAACTAATTTGCTACATAATTTAATTTGAAGCTTTTTGTGTATCATGACACTGAAAATATAATAAATCTGAAGGCATGAATAGCCCTAGGCTTTAATGTGTAAATATGGATGATATAAGAATTACAATACTAACCAGAATATTTTTTTAAAACTATCTCCAGATTGCTAAACAAAATTTAATAATGTTATCATTCTAATCAAATCTGCCTGTCTACTATGTAGCAGATTCCAGGGCCATAAAACGGTTTCCCCTGCAGGCATCCCATAGGACCAGTGTTTGGAGAATGTTGTTCATTGAACACCACACACACAAAACTTTGTTCATTGCATACCACACACACAAAACTTACATGTGTTTTATTCCCCAGGTTTAGCAGCATCAGATAGATGCTAGTTGTGTTAGTATTTTAGAGAAACAAATCCACAGAAACTTATGTAAAAGAAAGTTTTATATAAGGATTAAGTGCACATCAAGAAAACATCCCAATCCAGTGCTGCCCAAGCCCACAAGTCCAACATTAACCCATATGTCGAACACCAATCCACAAAGTCCTCCTCCATCTCACAAAACAGACACAATAATGCCAACTGCAGGAGGAAAGCCAAATCAGTGAATGTGTAAAGCATCCCAGCGCTGGCAGGGGTCTCTACACGGGTGCTCCAGCACCCTGGGCTGCATTGGGGTAGGTCCATGTGGCTTCTCCTCAGGGATGTCTTTCAGGACGTGAGCCTTGCCAGCTAAAGCAGGGAACTGGCTAAGGCAGCTGCACCCTGGTGCGACCATCACAAAGCAAGAGACCAGAGAACTAGAAATAAATAATTCTTTGAAAACATTGCTTCTTGTAAGCATTTTCCTAAACATGAAAAGGTAAGAGGGCTTAAAAGTTTGAGTCATTAAAGAATTATTTGGGTGATTAAAAGCAGAAAAAGTATTGAAACAAAGTCTTGATAGTCTAGTAAAATGTCAGAACTACAACACTGATACAGTGTTTCGTGGTGCACAATTCAGAGAAAAAAATTGCAGCAAACCTTAGGGATTTCAGGTGCACTGGAAAGGCAGATAAAGGCTTTATGATCATCAACTGTTGTGTGCCATGGGGTCATAGTAACCCCACTGCAGGGTAGAGCAGAACTGCCCCCCACGATTCCCAAGGGTGTAATCTTCCCGGGAGCCGACTGTCAGCCTTCACAACCAGATACTTCAATGTACCACTTCAAAACCTTGGCTTCTTGTATTTGGCCTGCTTCCTACCTGGCTTGACTACCACAGTGTGCATATTATGGACACACAATAAATCCTATTTTATACA